AAAAAAAAAAAAAAAAAAAAAAAAAAAAAAAAAGATAATCATAATTTAATTAATGAAAACAATATAAATTAAGAAAATGATTCTAACTATTAAGGAAAATTCTATAAATACATAATAAATGTACACAGAGGTGTACATAAAACTCACATGGAGTGGGGTTCACTTGATTTTTTATTTTTGGTGGGTCTCTCTCAATGTGAGTGTTATGTATACCCCTATGTACAATATTATGTACTTATAGTATTACACAAATATTATTAAACGCTTCTTTATATACAATATTCATGGTTTTCCTATAGTCGAAATAACAATCACCACATATCACTATCTTCAAACTCTTCCGATTCGTGACTCTAGAAAGAGCAACGTACAACTGTCCATAACTGAAAATAGGGGTTTTCAAGACAAAGCCGGCGTGTGAGAGAGATTGGCTTTGACTCTTGATGATCGTCATAGCATAGAAGACCATGATAAAAAAAAAAATTGTATGCGCTAAAAATTGAATGGTTCCCTCATACCCAAAGGAATGACTGTGATATCTTGAATAAAAACCTTATCTCTCACACCAGTTAAAACTCTGCACTCGAGGACATGATTGATGAGCTTAGTAATAACCTAATGCGTATTGTTGCACAACCCTGGTAACCATCCTCGCCATATGAAAAAAGAATAGGATAATGGAGAGCCAAGTATGAAGCGTTTAACTCATTAACCCGCTATAGGATTGCTCTGATTTTCTATGATGATATCCCGGTTGCCCATAACATCATCGAAATCGCCAACAACTAAGGCAACAACTTCAAAAGTGGACGGTAAATTGTACCGCCGACCTTGTTCCTTTTACGGATAAGACACATCTTTAGTTTGCCACCTTCGTGTTGGTTCTACTTCTCCTACGCCATTTTGAAACACTTCACCAACGCGTTATGAAGATCGATAGAATGAATGATTTATAATGCCATGTGTAGTAATAAATTGAAAATTTTATTGAAAAGTCTAAAGCTCAAAGCCAAAATAATATAATTCGGGATAAAACAAAAACAAATAAGAAAGTGTGCCGAATTTATTATACTTTTCTACTAATATAAACACTTTGGTCGAAATTATCTACTGAACAAAAATGAAAATGGAAGATGGTAGATAAAATATTATACTCTCCAAGCAGCAGAAAATTGACCTCAAACCAAGTAATTATTCATACTCATATATACTTAAATGTTCACAAACTCATATTCTTAAATGTCCACACCAACTGACTATATAAGTTGTCCTTAGCCCTACAATGGCCAAATCATTCAACTATGATATTAACATTGTGTGATCCTTCAATACTAAAAGTCCTAGAAACCACCCTTTCCAGGCTCAGTTGCTTAGTCATCTTCGCATCGGGCATCTTGAATTTCGACATCGAGGCGAGTTCGTGAACCGAGTCAGCTATCTTCACCGTGCACGAGACGATCTCGATCAGCAGCGAAGCAACCGTGACAGCCGGGACTATGTCCAGCAGATCAGTATCGAGCCAAAGGCCCGTTTTCAGTTGGGCTTTGAGCCTCTTGGCGGACGCCTTTGCTTTTACAACGTGAATGTCGGCTGTCAACGAACGGGTCATCTTCCCGATCCCGACTGATAGTTCCCTCAGGGCATAACTGCACTCGGAACTCATTTTCACGCACGGTTCTTTGATTTTTTCTCGGATTTCGAGCGAAGTCTGTAATGTATAACAGAACACAAATTTAAGGATGTTAAAATCTTGTTATCTCAGAAGGGAATGCATTAGTACTTATACAATATAAGCTAACAATCGAAGAAAATGAATGGATCATATGATAATAAGAGGGTTACTTAAATTTTACCTGAACATCTGATTTGAGATAGGCATTGAGTGAGTCGATCTTGAACGCGCATTCTCTGGTTAAGGACCCGATCTTGAGGTATTGGTCCCAAGGATGACGGTACCTAAATTTACCGTGCCTAGGTTCCCATTTCGCGAAATTTACCTACCAAATTTTCTTAAAATCAATCAACTTGAACAAATAGATCACAAAAAAAAAAAAAAAAGTATTCAAGAATCAACCTACTAGTAGAAAATCCAATTATCTTTTGAATTCACAATAAGACCCATAAGGCTAACAACCTATAATCTATCAGCAGAAGCTCCAATCAATGGAAGATACTTTTAACATGAAGCACTCACCAAAGTATCCTCAATGGCCTTTGAGTTGAGAACACTCTTGTATTCATCCTTGGGCATTTTGTTCTCTAGGTTCCCATCGTTCGGCTCCGGGAAGTATACTCGTCCAAAACCTACAAAAATGCATTCAACTCACATACTTAGAATTCAAGCATATCCTCAAATAGAAATGGACAACACACACATATTGTTAGAAATATATTTGTAGAATTACACGGGAGTCTTATGAACTGATATGTAATTTTCAGTTCTTACAAATGAACTAAAAATAGAAAATTACAATTTAACTGAAAATAAATTATAACTTGAAAAAAATGAAAGATTTTATTCGAGGCGAGTAAACTCTTTCTGCAAGACCGATACGCCCCGTGTAGTGCTAACAGTTCAGGCGTATCGTCCCCAAAGATACAATGGCGATCGTCTCGAAATCTGTAGCACACCAGATTTACGAGCACATCTATTTATAGAGAAGATGAAAGTGCATTATTGATGCAATTATCAATTTACAACCAATAATTGATAATAATACACAATAATTGATAATAATACTCAACTATTGATAATAATACTCAATAATTGATAATTAATTAATCAATTATTGATAATAAAAAAAGTGATAATATTTAATCAATTTACATTCAATAGTTGATAATAATGCTCAATAATTGATAATCAAACTCAGTTATTGAAAATTATTGATAATAATTAATAATCTCCCACATGAATGTAAATTAAATTTATTCCTATTTTAAGTGCTCAATTCTCGACTTCGTTCCAGTTCGCCTGAGCTCGTAAATTTAGTGTGCTACAGATTTCGAGACGATCTTCGTTGTATCTTTGGGGACGATACGCCTAAACCGTCAGCACTACACGGGCGTATTCGTATTGCGGTAAGAGTTTACTCGCCTCAGGTAAAATCTTTCCATTTTTTAAGCTATAATTTATTTCCAGTTATATTGTAATTTTCTATTTTTAGTTCATTTGTAAGATCTGAAAATTACATATCAGTTCGTAGAATTCATCAAGATTGCAACCTTAAACAACCAATGTGGGACAAAAAGAAAACAAATGTACCTTCCAAGAAAGCCCCAAGCTTTTCCATATTGGCAGCAGTGAGTTTGTGAAGATCCTCGCCGGCCCAAGTCGGGCATATGAATATGCAAATGAGGATAGAGGCCGAGCCGCCTATAAGTACCGTGGACAGCCTCCGGTGGGCCGTGTCCAGCACCTCGTCTTGCCGATAGCCCGACACAGATATCAGGCTGAATGTGAGGATGAATATAAGCAGCCCATAATCGTATCTCGCTTTCATTTTCGGGAAAAATCGAACGAATGTTACCACACTAGCTGCAAGAATGACACAAACAAGACCAAGAAATGATTAATGCATTGCAATTTAGATTTGTAAAGATAAACTTCTTATTTATTTTTACCTATCAAGAAAACAGATAGCCCAAGTATGATACTTTCTGGCTTTTCCCCTGCAAAACTTGCTAACCGATGAGCCACAACACCTAACCCACCACCTAATAACGTTGCAATTCCTCTGTTTACCCCTTTTCCAAGAGTTGCTCCTGAAAAAAAAACACAAAAAGATTGAATCTTTTTGCATTACTTCAACAAAGAACAGTGATAATCCCATTAATTAACAGTGAAATTGAGGGAACTTTTACTTACCCACAGAAAATTCGAAAACAACAACCACAGTCATGACAGCCCACATTGCATTAACCCCAAACCCTTGATACAGAAAATCGAAATAGTAGAACAAAGACACCACAGTTATGGCCAATCCCACTTTGAGGGAGTGCACAATTCTTCTGGGATCTTCTTCTCCGAGCCTCTTGGCATCTTTTGCAGTGTTTATCACAGCATGTACAGTTCTTCCCAAAATGCCCTTGAGCCACCCACCAATTCTCTTCAGAAAGGTGACATTTTCTTGATTTTCTGAAGCCATTTTTCGTGTCTTTTTATTCTCCCCCCTTTTCTTTTTTTCTTTGATTTATGTTGTGTAGAACTTGAAAGTGATGATTTTGGTGCAGATTATTTGAGTTTTTATAAAGTGGGCTTTGTGAAAGGTGGGGAAAAAAAAATGGTAGTATTATTGTCACATGGCTTTGTGAATTGTGAGGTTACAGGGAAGCTTCACACACTCTCTCTGTGACACACCGTGCCTCTGTTTTTACCACATTTGGTATAGTTCCAACTGGAAAAATAGGTGTTTACACGGTTCTTATTTACCTTTTTATTTTTTTTGGATTATTTATTTAATTTAATTTGATTTCCTTTGATTTAATTTTATTGGTTTGGGGTCAGCGTTATCACTATTTAAGGACGGTGACAACAACCTATTTTTTGTCTTCATTATCACTAGTAAATTAGTAATCAAATCATGCATTTGCAAAAAGAAAAAACAAAAAAATATGAATTAAGAAAATGATATTAAATACTGTTAAACACTTCTTTATATCCAACATTCATGGTTTTCCTATCGTCGAAATCACTATCACCACATTTCATTATCTTCAAATTTTTTCGACTCGTGACTCTAGAAAGAGCAACTACAACTGTCCGTGACTAAAAAGGGTTCTTCAGGCGTGCGAGAGAGACTGGTCTTGACTCTTGTTGATCGTCATAACATAGAAGACCATGATAAAAAAAAACTATATGTGTTGAAACTTGAATGGTTCCCCCATACCCGAAGGAATGATTGTGAGACTTGGAATAAGAATCTTATCTCTCACACCAGTTAAACTCTGCACTCGAGGACATGACTATTGAGCTTAGTAATAACCAAATTCGTACTGTTGCACAACCCTGATAACCACCATATGGAAAAATAATAGGATAATGGAGAGCCAAGTATGAAGCGTTTAACATATTAACCCGCTACAAGCATCTGCTCCGATTTCATATGATGATATCACGGCTGAGCATCATCGGAATTGCCAACAACTAAGGCAACAACTTTGAAAGTGGACGGTAACCGCCGACCATCCTTGTTCCTTTTACGAATAAGACATATCTTTAGTTTGCAACCTTCGTGTTGGTTCTCCTACTCCCGCGCCATTCTGGAATACTTCACCAATACATTATGAAGATCGATCAAATGAATGATGTATAATGCCATATGCAATAATAAATTGATAATGTTATTGAAAAGACTAAACTCAAAGCCAAAATAGTATAATTTGGGATAAAAGTAAAACAAATAAGAAAAAATAAAATGTGTGTCGAATTTGTTATACTTGTATGTCAATATGAACACTTGGGCCGAAATTATCTACTGAACAAATAACTGCATTATAAACAGTTGATGAATTGGACCAGATAACATATTAAAATAATGTGGTGAATTGAACTTATTTTTTTATTAAAAAATATGTAAGGATGACTTGGACTGGTATTCTCAGTAAGGCTATTTGTTTAATGGGTCTGATTTAGTAAAGCCAAAAAAATTCAAATTGAACTCAATACATATTTAAAAAAAAAATAAAAAAGAATCAGGTAACCAGTAAGACCGGTTAAAAAAAAGTCACAAAACTACGACTTAAAAAATTAGAACACTCCATTATTTAAATCATTTCTTTCTTGTCACTGGCGGATCACGTTTTTTCTCTCCGTAAAAAATATTCAAATCTCATTTTTCTCATTAATTTTGCCGATAAATCATGTCTTTTTCTTTGTTTTTCCAGCGAGATATTTCGATCAAATTCTAATTTTTTTTAAATAGAAAATTTCAAACAAAACAGAGAGATAACATCAAAATCATTCCGATTTTACAATTTTGTTTTACTAAATCATAGTAAGATGGCGCAAATCGGCCGATTACATAACAGATCTATCAGGATTTGAAATTTTTTGTTTTGATTTAATTAAGGTTGTCATCCCTATTTTGCTAAATACTTCGATGAATCATAAGAAAATGGTTCGGATATATCAAGATATGTAATGATTGTTAAAATTATATGACTTCTCTTTTTGTAAAATTGTGTTTCAAGTTGATTTTAGAAGTAAATTAGATATAAAATTTTATTTTACTGCTTCTTTGGTCGTTTTCTTTCAAAAAAAAAAATTAAATATCTACACAATTTCATGTTTTTTTTTTGGCCAGAACATAGATCTTTTGTTTGTTTCTTGCGAAAAAAATGAATGGATCTTGTAATATCTAAATATGTTCTTCTAGTTTTCTTAAAAATATGCACGATGTTCGGTTGCAATAGTCGATCTTCATATAAATACGAACATATGTTTGGTTTTCAAATTAATATATATATATATATATATATAGAGAGAGAGAGAGAGAGAAATGCTCACCTACCCACGGTGGGCACATGTTAATATGCCCACCGCGTAGGTGGCATGCACTCATTGGTGATGTATTTTTTTAAACATATTAACATCACCAATGAGTGCATGCCACCTACGCGGTGGGCATATTAACATGTGCCCACCGTGGGTAGGTGAGCATTTCTCGATATATATATATATATATATATATCTGCAAGTACACTTCATTTCTACCCTTGTAATTGTTTTTGAGTAATGCTATATGTACATAATATTGTACATAGGGGTGTACATAACACTCACATTGAGTGGAACCCACCAAAAATTAAAAATCAATGGACCCCACTCCATATGAGTGTTATGTACATCTCTATGTACATTTATTATGTACATATAGCATTACTCATTGTTTTAGGCGGAGAATTAAAATAATATAATTAAATGCCTAAACTTTAGACGCACTACAGGAAAATGATGAAATTCTAACGGAAATCTATTCCAAAAGAATTATTCCAACAACAATTCCAACGGATATTTCAATACTATTATTTCAGTTTGTATTTTTCAATGGATTCCAACGGAAATTCCAACAAAAACATTTCGTTGGAATGAAGTTTCCATTGGAATTTCCGTCGGATTTTGACGATATCAACGGTGGATTTTTCAACGGGTGTGGAAATAAAAATTCCAACGGAATTTGCATATTCCAACGGAAATTCCTACGGTAAAAATCCATTGGAAAGAGAGTCGTTGGAATCATCAAATTCCATCTAAAATTCCAATGAAAAACACATTCCAACGGAATATTTCCGTTGGAACCATTCCAACGGAAGCTATACCATTGGAATATCCATTGGAATTTCCATCGGATTATATTGTCATAGGATTTTCCGTTGGAATATAACAATTATTTTGTGTTGACGGAATAATATAATTAATACTTTTTTTCTCTAAATATATTTATGTGTGTGTGTCCCCTCTCTAGAACTTCCCCCATGTATGTGTCAATCATCAATAAAAAGCACAACTCAAAAGATTTAAAAAAAAAAAAAA